GGGAGGAGTTTTTCTGCGAGCCAGCGTGTGAAATTTTCCCGATTCATCTGACCGTGGTAATCGCCTGTAGCTAATCCCGCCTTAAATATCAAACAGGCATTGTCAACAAATCCATTTTCTGAACCTGCATGCACTATAATGAGTCGACCTAAAATATACAAGACGATTATATAATATGTTACAATCAGAGTTAAATTTAACATATATATATAGCATTTTTGCTTACCTGTAGAACCTATACTGCTTATTACACCAGAAACAGTTTCGCTCTGCCAGCATTTTTTGAAAGTCAAGTCATTGTCCACCCAGGTTTCGTCCAAATAAACTATATTGCGCCCTTCTTCACGATATCTACGTATTTCACGGATGTATTTGTACCTCCATTGCAATATATTGGGCCTCTCCATCAAAACTTTTCTTTTATTTTGACATTTGCGCCAAAAAAAACCATTTGATTTTAATAAACTCCTGAGAGTTTCCCTAGAATAGGGGAAATTTGAGTCTTCTCGCAACTTTTGTAATAACTTCCTAGTTGTCGGGACAACTTTATATTCAAGATAAAATCTGTTTATCAAATGTCTAATAATCTGAAAATCAAAATCTTCATCTTTCTCAACAAGAGACTGACGCGGTCTTTTTTTTCCGGGACTGGATAACATTTTATTCGGGTTATTTTCTAGTCTTTCTTTATCTTCGTTATGAATTTTCCTAACAGAAGATACTCCGACTCCGGTATAAAGGGACACCCTATCAAGCTTACGTTTAAGCGGCAACTTGAGGGAATTGTTTGCCGCTTCCTCATCGCAAACCCTATAAATAATCATCAGAATGTTAGCTTAGCATTTCCTTGTTTTTTATTTATATTCAGACTCAGTCGTCAAAAACTACAATTATTGCATATTATTATTACTAACCTATAAACATTCGCAATCACTTCTCTTGTTTGGCTATGAAGCGTCTTTCCGCGATTAAATTGGTTCATTTTAAAAAAATAATACTAAAACGAATAACAATATCAAATAACAAAACACTAAACTATTCAAAAACACACAGCACTAAACATACAAACTTAATAGAACAATAAATAGTTAACAATAATAGTTGTAAAACTCATACACGGATAAAACCTACGCCACTGGACTTTTCAATAGTATGGATATTCTAAGAAAGGAGCAAAAAATTGTCTGGGACGCTACCCAATAGGGAGTCGAATTTTCTCATGGCGACAAAACATGTGAGGATATCCGCCAATCAGATTCGTTTAGGCGGTGTCCAATATACCTTTCGGGTGGTTGTTGCCAGCTCAACCGATGTAGATAAGATCTTTGGAAAAATGTTTACTTATAATACGATTCAGTAGTAAAAAATAGTTAGTAAATACAAATAGAGCTAACAACCCATTAAAATTCTCAGTATTTTGAATTAATATTTTTTGGAATTGTGAAAAATCGATTTTCAAATCAATGAAATTACTTTTATTATTATTATTGCTTTTTTGTAGTTAAATTTGGCAATATCGAATATTTTCGGTCGCATTCCCTTCGCTGTTGCAGATCCGTTTGCCAAACTATACAATCTAGCCCTTTTAGAAAAAAAACTTAGCTATGAACCAGTATAACAGTAAACAAATCAAATGGATTAAGTCAGTCAAACCAGCCCAATTTGTCAATAACCCCCTAATTTGACAAATTTGCGATCTAGAAATGTTCCTTGTCCTACCGACCCTACCGGAATTCTGGCAAAGTTGCTAACTAACCTCGCCACTCACCAGCCACACATGGCTCAGGCATCGATCTATATGCTAACGGTAACACATCTAGATATTGCCTGTCTCACCCCTAAAACCCCAACCCGCAAGTTTTAACAACAACAATAATTACTGAATTCTCTCAGATGTCAAAAACGAAGCATGAGTGATTTTTACTTTTCTCGTCTTTTTTAGCGGGGCCAGCGAAGAGCTGGAAGGAAAGAATATTTTTCCTAGAATACTTTTCATATTTTCAAAATCTGTAGGAAAATTTTCATGTTTCGCTCTAACTACAGTATTACAGACTTTCATTATAATCTGTTTTTTTTTTCGAAGTAGATATAGGCAATTTGAAAACGATTCTAACTTATTATTATTTTTTTGGAGTAATCTTTTGGCGAACTCTAACCACCATCTTTACAAAAACTACAAGAAGTTAAAAATAGCGTTACATCGTATTTTTATCTGACTTGTTGCGCGCGTCCTTTAATTTTGGCAGCTACGGGTAAAAGCTTCATCTGCCGCTGGTGAAACTTTGGATTGTTCTGCCGATGTGCTAGCTTTAGACAAATGAGCTTCAGGAGAACATATATAAGCACTGACTTTGAACATTTCCATACACACGTTTAAGTTCTTGCTCATCGTAAATCAGATGATAGAAAGAAAAGAGCGCAATATACAATAGGTATGTGGAATCTTTCGTACCAGATTCTAAGCAAGTCCAGTCCTGTGTAAAACCATGAATGCGGCTGTCGGGTACGCATTGTGTCATTTGCATGGAAATGAAAAAAAATCCGCAATCGGTACCCGATGGACCAATTTTTACAGTGATGCACACAGCGAGCCGGCTCGCGAGGATGCCTCTGTCCGCATTGCTGAAATGAGAACATTATTTTTAATGGACGCGGACATTTTGTCGGACAAACCAGAGTTAGTAGAATATCTACACGTGGTTAGATAATGTAAACAATTCTAGGGACAAAGAAGTAATGTTTGGAAACACGGAACAAGATTATTTTTGTACGAGTCCATTGACACGGCGAATTAGAATATGTTTTAATTTGTCTTTATTGTACGATGCTTCGGTCACCATGGTGGCCTTTTTCAAGAACGAAGACGATTATTGACAAAAATATACTGTCTTTAAGGAGTAAGACCACTCTTACGGCCCATGTCATGGAAAAAAAGGTAATAGAACAATAATACAATCTAGAGAGGATGCTTTTATTTATTTACTTATTTATTTAATCATTTATTTATTTATGTATCTATCTATCTATCTGTCTATTAATTTATTTATTTATTTATTTATAATTCCCAACACCCAATTACAGGAAATATACCAACAATGAAAACAAATCAATAATTTAACAACAGTGGAACGTAAGAAAAAGAAAAACAAATAATTGTATACAACTATGACACTTTTTGAACTGCGGAAATAGCTCTTAACATAGTAATTCTATACTAAGTGAAATATAAATCCGAACACCCAGTTTAAATGGTTTTATTATAATAAAATTTTGTATAAGTACTTAATGAAGCATAATAAGTAAATGATAAAAATTTCAAAATGATTGCACTGCTTTAAAGCCCTTTGACCTTTAATAATGTGTGGATGCACCCTGATGTGCTACGTATTCTCCAACGCGCCTAGACATGCTTCTGATCAGGTGGTCAATGTCCTCCTGTGGTATCTCATTCCAGGCAACCACCAACTCCTCTCGAAGTGCTTCTAGAGTCTGAGGAGGACGTTGCAAATTGAGCAATCTCCTACCCATCATATCCCACACGTGCTCAATTGGGGATAAGTCGGGAGATCTTGGTGGCCATGGTAACAATGTGACATCATTATGTTGGAAGAAGTCTATTGTGACTCTTGCAACATGTGGTCGGGCATTATCTTGTTGGAAAGTTGGATCTGCCAGGGTGTCAAGATAGGGTAAAAGATGGGGTTCTAGAACTTCGTGGATATAACGCTGCGCGTTCATGTTACCTCTGATGAAGATTAAAGGTGACCTGAAACCATAAGCTATAGCACCCCAACAGTGTGATGAACATGTCTTTCAACAAGAAACTGTGGATTCCTCCTTTCACCACGTTTTCTCACAGAGCCATACAAGACATCATGATTATATTAGGATTTAAAAAATCTTGTTTAATTTACTACTATAAGTATTGCTATCAGCCTATAGTTGAAGATATCGCCGATATTACCATTTCTTGAAAATCGGGCAAACCTTCGTCATTTTCCAGATCGAGGGATATGTACATGTTGATAGCATTAGATTGAAAATCGCACAAAGGGTGTTGGCCTACACACAAATACAATCTTTTACTATTAAATTGGGAACATAATTGAATCCTGAAGACATTTTCTTTTTCGTTTCCTAGAAGCGTAGATAATATTGTCTTCTCCTCCCAGTTCTACTAACCTAAGGCAGTTCAAAAATGGTATTAACAAAGTTTCTTTGGGCTCTTTATAGCATCCGCCCTGGCATTTACTCTTCTGCCTGTACGGCTGCTTCGGTGTAAAAAATATAATTAACAGAAAACGTTTATTATAAAATATTAAAAATCTCGTGAGGCACGTAGCATTTGAGACGCTCTGCGGCGAGCAGTACGGCTATTGAAAACCTATTTTAAATGTTTATAGCTAAAAAATAAGTGGGAGATTTCAAAAATGATGTTTTTGTGTGGTTGGCAAGTATTTGAATTAAAAGCTTCAATTTTAGTAAAAAAAGGGGTAATAAATTGTTAATAAATAGTGATTAAATCCACTTATCGACGGTCCATTAAGTATTTCTCTTCTAAAAATTATTTTAAAAATATTCTAAGAAAATTGAATAAAAAAATGAAAGTCGTTCGTGTTATGCTGCGAGCAATTTTGATAAATTGGGTTTCTTGAAATACGCTGCGCCGCCGCCATTTTTGAATATTTTTTTATGAAAATTTTCTTCTTTGCCACTTAAATAAATGCTAATAACTTCCTTCAATATTAAAAGATAATTTTAAGCCATTACAGTGGTGCTACTCCATAATTGTCATTGAATTTGAAAAAAGCTAGAGTAGTGGCCCAAGAGTCGTAACGTTATTCAATATAGACAAATTAAAACATATATGTGGTTCGACTCGGCCAGACAGTGGAATCTTATGAACATAAAAACTACGGGATAAGTTTCAGGAGTTACATTAAGATCATCGTCTACTAAGTCTACGAAAGCAAAAGTTCGCCAATTTGGGCCTGAAAAACATGGTTTAAAATAAAAGAATCTCAAATACTGTTCAACGTCTTCTGGAACAAGGTTTTAAGTTTAATTTAGATACCTAGCGACCTCAAAAATTATCATTTTCAACTGAATTTTCCATTGAATACACCGGCATGCTAACCCGAATCAAATGTAAGCATTTTTTTGAAGTTTAATTACCACTTTTTCCCGGACACATTTTCTTTTAGATTTATTGTATCATTCCGAACAAGGAATGGTTCCGTTAAGTTTTCTTTCAAGTGACAATTTTCGAGTTACAATACTTGAAAAGTCGGTTAAAAATTACGAGGGATGACTTAAGTTTTGCATATAAACATAGTACGTTAGTACTGAATCTTAACCTCACTGTTTAGTAAACTTAAATTCAAAGTTTCACAACAATACGTGCAGTGTTCTCACTACAGTGAATTTTTAAGTGTCACCAAGTCATTAGAAAAATGGAACTCATTTTCGCGCCATAATTTATTACAACTTTCAGAGACAATTATCGCAACAAGTATGCCTTGCTGAGTTACTGTCTGTTTTCGGCAACGAAGCACCACATCAGTCGACAAGTTCCCGTTGGTATGGAGAATTCAAACGTGGATGGGTGAGTCTTAGCGACGATCCCAGGGTGGGTGCACCAAAAACGGCAGTCACCCAGGAAATCGTCGATGCCGTGCGCAAACTCATGATTAAAGATAGACATGTGACATATCGCGAGATTGAGGCGTCCTTGAAGATCTCAAAGACCTTAATTCAAAAAATTTTACATGAAGAATTAGGAGTAAGAAAATTAGTTTCTCGTTGGATACCCCACCTGTTGACTGACGAGCAGAAAGCAGCCAGGGTTAATTGGTGCCAAAAAACGCTTGACCGTTTCAATTCCGGAAACTCAAAAAATCTGTACAGCATTGTTAGTGGTGACGAATCGTGGAATTACTGTTATGAACCAGAAAATACATGTTTGGGTGTTCCAGGATGAAGAAAAGCCAACAAAAGTCATCCGTTCTCGAAGTGTTTCGAAAAAGATGGTCACGATATTTGTGTCAAAAGCGGGCCATATTGCAACAATTCCTCTTAATGAGTAAAGAACTGTTACTGTGCATTGGTATACCATCACTTGTTTGCCAAAAGTCATCACCGAACTTCGAAAAATCAACCCCGAAAGAAGAATCATTCTCCACCAAGACAATGCAAGTTCGCACACAGCCCAAAGAACAAGGCAGTATCTAATGGAAGAAAACGTAGAATTATTGGACCATCCTCCATATAGTCCCGATCTAAGTCCTAACGATTTCTTTACTTTCCCGAAAATTAAAAACAGACTGCGTGGTCAAAGGTTCCAGTCACCAGAAGAAGCAGTTGACACATTCAAAAATGCCGTTTTGGATCCGCCAGCAAACGAGTGGAATAAGTGCTTCGAAAATTGGTTAGAGCGCATGCAGATATGTATTAATCTTCGTGGAGAATACTTCGAAAAACAATAAAGCCATTTAAAAGTACCTACCGTGTTGTTCTATTTCCATATGCAAAACTTAAAAGACATCCCTCGTATGATGTTTTTGGTTGCCAAGTATCTAATTGAAGTTTAAACCTTGCTTCATAAGAACCCGATGGATATTTTGAAATTACTTGCTTTTAAAGCGATTTTGAACCTTGTTCGTTATTTGTCCAAATTTATCGAACTTTTCGTTTTCGCAGCCTGTAGGAAATTTCGTTGGTTTCAGTTTCCTGGTCTGCCTAAGAGTTTTCAAATATAACAAAACAGCTATCCAGGGTTGACCATCTCGTCTGTGGTAGGACGAACGAAAATATAAAATCCTGATGTCCACGAATTGAGTGACAAGCAATTTCAGTGCGCTGTTAAAGTTCTTCCAGACTATTTACTGCTCCATCATGATACACCAACCCTTTCAAATAGCCCTACAGAAAAAAATCGCTAGGCGTTAAATCCGGGGAGCGAGCATGCCAAGAAATGGATACAATGCGCTCTATCCATCTAGTTCGGAAACTCATTATTTGGATGTTCATGAACTTCTCGTCTAAAATGTGGTGGGGCATGTAGGAACCACATATTCTGTCTCACATCTAGAGGAACATCCTCTAATAATTGTGGCAGATTTTGGCGAAGAAAATCTAAATAAATTTCACCGGTCAGTCTACTAAACCTTTCCGCATACAACCTGCATGCTGCGGCTGCATTTTGTTGGCGCTAGTATTATTTCCACTAGTTCATTGTTTTCGTAAACATGGGCCATTTTTTTGCACAAAATAAGTAGACAAACGAAAGTATATGCACTATTAAAACCGATACAACTAATCGAACCAAAGACTCGTACTGAAAACAACACAATAACATAATGTCTGCCAAATTCAGATAAACCATAAGAGTAGTAAACACAAAACGCTAAGAGTTAACACGGCAGTGGTTGAAAATATCAAAAAATCTGTATAACATTCTTATTTTTAAAATTTTTCAATCTTCTACTATTTCTTTTATTATGCCACTTTTATATAGGTGATTTTTGATATATCAACTCCTTTTTACAAGTCCTACAAGCAGTTAAAATAAATGACTCAACTTTGAAAACACCTCGTATAACTCGATTGTTCAATGTACGTCTCCTTATGAAACGCATTGAATTAGCTGATATTCACATCATCATGTTTACTTGTAGTAAGCGCGGAATGAACTAGCGGCACACTGTCGGGTATTTTTTCAAAAATCATGTTGTTTTTCTCCGTAATAACCATGCATATCTATTATAGCACCAGAATCGGTGGCATCTAGCGACCAAAGTGGTAACCTGGCTGACAATGCGAACTTTGAAACATAATCAACAGACAGCAGTGGTCGATTCTGGTAACAAATGGCACTTTGTGTTGTCTTATTTCAAACTACATATTATGTATTTTAATTTCTCTTAATCGAAATATCGTTTATTCACTTAATGAGAGAATAATTGTTTATTTGTTACAGTGGCCTTCCATGGTCCACGCACCTTAGTATACCATATATCCTTTGAATTCTTTGCGTGATCTCACAACCAAGTCCAATATCATAAGAACGCGCTCTGTCGTCAAACACGGGTACTTATTGAACTGCCCTCGTATTGCATCTTCAAAATTGAAAATATTAACATCAATAAGATGATGCTTCACAAAATAGTGTGTTTTAGTTGCTATTTTAATTTTGACGCAATATTACTATAATACCTCAAAATTGGGTCAAAATGGACGACTGGTCACCTCTGAGCTACTGATATGTATTTTAATTTCTCTTAATCGAAATATCATTTATTCACTTAATGAGACAATAATTGTTTATTTGTTACAGTGGCCTTCCATGGTCCACGCATCCTAGTATGCCATATATCCTTTGAAGTCTTTGCGTGATCTCACAATCAAGACCAATACCATAATAATTTTATCGTTTGATGCGGTGGCGTCTGGTAGTGTTAGTGCACCGGCGTTTTTGAAGTGCGAGCGTCTGGAGTCTGCCAAAAAGCCAACGCACCACATCCGCACCTTAGAGCACTATTAAACGCGCACGATATCTGGCAGTGGGACTTCAAAGGCTTTGTTATCAGCCCACTCCACCTTCACAGGATGCTTAGCAGCCTGTTTTCGCGGCGACGCTTATTGCTGGCGCAGTATACAGGGTTCTTCATGACTAAAAGCGAGTATGCTATAACCGTTTATCGAAGGTCAGCGATCATGTTGACTATTATTATTTTTCACGGCATCTAAAAGGTGGGCCATCTGTTGATTTCTTTTTTAAATTGGTACTAAAACTACGCCGCGGATGGCATGGCAGTAGTCCATCCTCTTCACCCAATTTTGAAGCACATTTTCGCTAGTTTGTGCGTCTATTTCGTACCCCATAGGAAGTAATCCATGGGCGTCAAATAACAGCTGCGGGGTGCCCAATGACCGTCTCCAAAACGGCTGATAACGCCATGACGAAACTTAGTGCGTAATAGAACGATAGCTTCATGGCTGGTGTGGTATGTAGCGCCATCCTGCTGGAGCCAGAAATTGTGCAAGTACATGTCGTCTAATAGTGGCCACAAAAAACTCCTCAAGAAGCCTCTATAGGGTTCCCCGTTTACTGTCACGCTGTTACCATCTTCACCTTGAAAAGAGTAGGGACCAATAATCCCACCACTTCACAAGCCACACCAAACAGTTACCTTTTTTGGATGCATTGGTTTTTCTATGACATGTGGATTTTCAGAACCCCAAATTCTGCAGCTCTGTTTGTTAACGTAACCTCCCAGATGGAAATGGGCTTCGTCCGAAAAGATGATTGGGCGACCAAAATTGACGTCCATTTTCAATTAATTGATTTAGATTCCACACAGAGAAACGATATCGAAGCGGATGTTTCAACTCTTGCACAAGATGCACCTTGTAATGAAATAATCCCAGGTCGTTATGCAATATTCTCCGCACACAAGTACCACGGATGCCCACTGTGACGAGTTGACATTCTTGCGTTTTCACGCACACTCTGAGCAACAGCAGCAATGTTTTCGGCTGTACGTATGGGTCGAACACGTCATACCTTCTGTTAACCACAAGCAGGCCAGTTTCTCGAACCTTCTTCTCGAATTTTCGTACACCAGTCTTTTCAATTTTCGCAGCACAGCACAACACTTTGAAAATAGGTTTTCAATATTTTCCAAATTTGTTCAAGATAAAAACGATCCATTGCTCATAGCGGAAGTTTGACACAATATATCTGTCAATATGGAGAGCATGGTACTGTTACCAACTGTCAAAATAATACCAACTTATGGCCCACCATTTATGAAAATGGCGCCAAGTAGATTGACTCTATATTTCCCACGCCTTCGAAATGACTTCTAGTACAGTTTTCCATGTTTATTGTCACAAAAAAAAACGTAGGCTTCATTGGAACGACTAGCACTATTTGGGATTTCATCAAAATAAGTTCCCCAGATCACAGCAATGAGCATGTACATAATATATGTATAGATAATGTCGCGTCCACTTCGTATGTGTACATCGCGTCATCACGCCGTCTGCTACCTGCTTTTATAAGACCCTTTTATCCAGTAGCAATACCTGATGAAAATACTTTTCAAATTTTCAGGTCAACTGTACATAAAAATCTATTATAATAAGACAGTGTAAAGCGCCATATATAGTACCTCACCAGAATCGACCAGTGCGGAAAGCGAAAAGCTGCTATTAGTTAGAACTGTTAGGGATCTTAGTTCACGTTTAATAGCCCAGTCACCACGTGACCGCTAGACGCCTCACGATTCTGGCTGTGAAGTAGGTGTGGTCTACTTGCCAATGAATAGACTAAATCTGATGATTTTGTCCGTCCGACTGAAAAGACAGCCAACCATGGATAGATGTTTCTCATCAGTATGGTCTAGGCTTGGTCTCTTGTCTCTGGAAAAGAACAACTAAACCTAAACGCTCCATCCATCAAATCGAAAAATGTATGATGTGTGAAATATCTCTAATAAGTGTGTAGCATTACGGGGTTGTAAGTGTATTGATACACATCCTTCAATTGTTTCCCAAAATATTTTTTTTGAAAAATCATCATCATCCTGCGAAACGAAGTTTGGGCGATTTTTATTTTTTTAGTTTTTGGCATTTTGCTCCTCTGCCACTAGGCCGATTTTCAAAAGCGGCAAAGCTTTTTCGTCCTTGGTATAGTAGTAACCGTGTGTAAAAATTTTATTCAAATCCGGGCAGTACTTTCCAAATTAAAGACGGGTCAGCGGACACATACAGACAGACAGACGGAAATTAGCGGCACGGTTTTCCGTTATGCGTACATGATATGTCGCATCCAAAATACATAATACTTCATTTTAGAAACTTTCCGTGAATACAGTACTTGCTCGTTAGTAGGCGATAGAGATAGAAATGACTCCGTTGTTTGACCACTGCCGCATGTTCTTCGGCTAGGACGTACGGGGTATTTCTGGTCCTCTCTCGCCATTGTATGACGAGTTGCAGAATGTTATATTTTTCAGGATGTATCATGATATCCGAGGTATGTCAGTTTGTGGGTGCGCCTTATGTATATTTTTTTCTGTATGGCTGAATCTTACTTACTATTTATCACGATTGATATATACAGAGTGTCCCAGAATACCATGCCGATCTCTTAAATACATATAGAACACGAATATAAGGAGAATGCTTTTTCTTAAATACAGGGTGATTCACAAGTTGTGACCAAAAATGAAACATCATACCCAGGACCGCATTTTAAGTGGGGTCTTCCATGTAACATTTTGTCCTCAAGGGCTTGATTAAAAAGATACGGGGGGGTTGAAGTTTGAAAATAATATTTTTTAATATCTTCATAACCGTCAACTGGAATGAACTAAAATTTGGTATGTGCATTTACCCAAGTATTTTCCACATTAAAAAGTCTTTACTTAAAATTAACGTGCATCAGTGGCGGAGATACAGGGGATTAGTGGCATCATTTTTCTAAATAAAAATAGTACTCCACTATTTTTTTTTGAAATTCAATTCAATTTGCTACAAATAATTACTCTTGTGTTTTTTCCTAGAGTACACCATGTATATTTTGTAAGACACTATAAATATTTCCACCTTGCTTGAAGTGTCCATGTATAATAATCAACTCGTTTAGGTACGGACTAGCCTTAATGCAATATTGCTGACATTTTGTACACCCTATTTAATAATGGCACATAATTAATAGCTTTGGAAAGACAGCCTAATCGTCTAGCTGAAAAAATGTATTGTTTGATTTCGATAAGCTGGGCTGTTTTTCGAGATAATCAGTTTTATTACAATATTGTTCCTGCAGATTTACATTGCAACCCATAATCAAGGGATCTGAAAATTTGTATCCTAGGGTTCTTCGGGTCGCTAATTACGAATCGGTCATCAGAATTAGTATATTTTTTAAATGGTGCGTCCTAACCAGTTTACTGGGTCCAGTTGCAAAGTTAATAGTGAAACAAGAGTGTTTTTTTCAAAAATGGTCCATTTTATAGATGCCAAATAAGAATACATTTTTCAAGGCTCCAAAATAGAGAATGAGTCATGCAATATTGCGTTGGGGTTAATCCATCCCTGGCGATCAAATGAGTTAATTGTTTCCCATTTGAGGGGCCACCTAGTTCTACAATGCTATTCAAAAGTTTGATTTGTGAAAAATCGACTTCCAATAGCGTCCTTAGGGGCCTGTATCTCTACAGGGGAGCTCCGTTTTATAAGGATAAATTGCTTTTTTTATATTAGATATGCGTGCGAGAGATTTACATCTTATTCTGTTATACTATTTGCAATTAATTATTTGACACGATTCTTCGTCCTACAATGGTTTACAACTTGTCCTGCGAGTGCGAAAAAACATAAAAAGCCGAAGAGAGGTATAATAACAGCATAAGAAATAGTGGAACTTGAATGTATAGTTGTAATATAATACCGATACATAAATCAGGAACAAAAACAGATGTTAACAACTATAGACCAATATCAATAATATCCAGTGTAGCAAAGGTTTTTGAAAAAGTTTTATCTACTAGAACGATTCGATACCTCACAAAATTCAAAATTTTAAGTGAAAATCAATATGGATTTACAGAAGGGAAGGCTACATCGGACGCAATAACTAAAATTGTAAATCAAATATATCAAAATATTGATAACAGAATCCCTTCAATCTGCATTTTTGTTGATTTAAAGAAAGCTTTCGACACAGTTAATCACAAATTATTATTAGAAGCATTGGAGAGAATTGGTTTCAGAGGAAACGCGTACTCACTGATCGAAAGTTATTTGTCAAATCGCCCACAATCTGTGCAGATATCAGGATCATTTAGTAAAGAAATGTATATTAAGTGTGGTGTCCCACAAAGAACTGTCTTAGGTCCGCTGTTATTCAATATATATTTAAATGATATTTTCCAAATTAATTGTGTTGGCAAAATAACTAGTTTTGCAGATGATACTGCAATATTATATGAAGGCACTGACTGGTCTGATCTGAAAAATGTAATTGAAAATGATTTTATCAAAATTATTCGGTGGTTTAACAGTAGAAAATTAAGCATTAACTACTCTAAAACACATTTTTTACCATTTGGATCTTATGCTAGACATCTGCCAAATTACACAAATTTCTCCTTCAATATTAATGATCAAAAAATGTAAATTAATAGAGTGCCCAACATAAAATACCTTGGAGTGGTCTTGGATCCTCACTTACGATGGGACATCCATGTCAATTATATTTTAAGAGAAGAAAGTTAGATTTGTATCCTACAAAATTAAATACCTTGGGAATATATTGACAGAAAAATATCTTCAAACATTATACCATGCACTGATTGAGCCTCATCTCACATATGGTATATTAGCATGGGGAGCTGCATGTTCCTCACATATCTATAATTTAGATGTTTTTCAAAAAAGTATTCTAAAAATGATATTTAAAAAACCGAAACTTTATCCCACTGAAAAATTATATGCAGATGTTCGAATGTATGATATAAGACAGCTTTATTTCTTACACAGTATCACTCACTACCATAAATTTGTAAACACCGACCAAAAATTAAACATAATCATTATACCAGGTACAAAATTCGTGGCACAGTAGTTCCTCAACCGCATAAATCTATAATGCAGCGATCATATCTCTATTTAGCGCCTAAATTTTATAAAATTATACCTAAAGACTTAAAAGATTTACGTTTCGGAAATTGTTTCAAAAGAAATTTAAAAAAGTGGCTACATTCTATATCTAGGACTGAAATTCATAAACTCATAAATACGAACATCAACTAAATACATAATCTACTGTAGCTAATTTTTGTCCTTTTTTGTCATTTGCATTCTACAGTTTCAACTTAAATTATTGGTCCATGTACAGGCGATGCCTTCTATTGGGCCTGTTTTGATTTTATATTTATTTACTCATATTGTTTGTTATCTTTGTACATTGAGTAAATAAATATTATTATTATTATTATAGCTATGGGAAAAATTGAGATCCATTTTCGAAGAATGAATGGGAATTAACTCCGACTAGTAAAAGATCTCTCACACTGATCTGAAAGAACACCTTTACAAAAAATGCATCGTCTGACATAAAGGGTGCGTTCTTAGTGCGAGCTCGGTCGATAACTTTGTTATTGCGTATAGTATCTAAAAAAGTTAATTACAAAAATTGTAGTTTTGCTTGGAAATATTTTTGTTTCTTCAGGGTGACTCATAAGTATCCAGTGGCCCAAACATGCTTTTTTTATACGGAAGGCATCACATTTTATTGCAGATTTTCATACACCCTTCCAAACAAAGAAATTGAACATACTATAAGTGTTCTATTTCCAAATTGTTAGTTATTTCATAATCAATCGAATAAAACCCTGAACTTTGACAACTCGCACCTCCACAGCTATTATACGTAGCCTCATTTCCGATAGAAAAATTTGTGATGTCATAGTCTGTTCCTATCCACTTACTTTTTCAGTTTTTTAACAGTTTATACAGGGTTTTCCTTAATGATATGCGAATATTTAAGGGTGTGAATCTACATGAAAAATTAATGTTAGTTTGCTTTATAAACTAAAAATTTTTTATAAAAAAATGAAGTAAGTCTGTTCGTCAAGTCGTCCCGGCAAGAAGAATGGGCCAATAAAGTGGTTGCTAATAATTCCTGCCCATACGTTAACCGAAAATTGGTGTTGGAAATGGGTTTCGGTTACGGCATAGGGATTTTCTTCTGCTCACAAATGATAATTTTGGAAATACTGAATGGCATTTCGAGAAAAATTAGCTTCGTCCGTGAACAGAATCATTGATTCAAATTGCGGATTTTATGTAATTTCTTGAGATACCACTGACAAAAGGTCACACGCCTTGGAAAATCAATGGGAAGTAATGCCTGTACTCTTAAAATATGGTAGGGATATAACAAAAAATCCACTAAAATTCTACAGACAATTTGATGGCAAATATTTAACTGTCTAGCGATCTTCCTCGTACTTGTTTCAGGATGTTCTTTGACTTCGTGCAGCACTGTTTCAGGTGTTCACACACTTAGAGGTCTACCTCCAGATGTTCCTTTTCGGACAAAACCAGTTTCAACAAGACGACGATGAATATTAGAAAAGGTTCGACTATCTGGCAAAGCACGATCGGGATATCTCTGGAGTCCGTCTGGCTTGCTCACCATTACCATCGGCAAGGCCATATACGTAATGCATTTCCGCCATTTCTGCATTTGAATAATTCACCATTATTAACAAGATTGTAAAAACTAAATAATGAAAAAGATGTCGCAGCGAACAGATTTTAAACAACAGAGACTTGTCAGATGTCAAAAGTCAGTGACATATTCCAGAGCAACTGGATATTTATTGCTAAATTGCATTCTTCAATTATTACATTAATTTTCTCGGACAATAGAACAGTTTTTATTTTTTTACTCAAAAATGGCGCATCGAAGGAAAACAATTCAAGAGAGAGATAATTTGTTTTAAATTGAACGGGGAATTCAAAAAACCATTGGCGTACAATTTTTATCTCAAAAAATACCCGTACGCAGGCCACCTAAAACTCCAAACTTCGAGTTTTCGTAAGGAAACATTTTTGGACCATAGTTTATAAAGCAAACATTAGTTTTTCGTGTAGATTCACACCCTTAAATATTCGCATATCATTAAGGATATAGGGTAGTATGAACCGCAAAATGAACGATTTCTAGAAAATTTCAAATAGATCACCCTAAGCATTTTCACCATCCTTGTCTTTCCTTACCACGAGTTTCCGGGGCTCTTGGGGTTTTGTATGGGCTGAGGATGAAAATCATCTTTGGTAGGGGATGGCGATTGTCAAATTTTCAGCTGCTTGCGCACAATGCTTTTAATTTTTCAAGGGAGCATACGCACTTGTTTGCTTCCCGTTTTGTCTGTGTCCAGCACTAGACCTAAGACCTATGCCGCACTGATGAGCTGCTACTGAGCACGAACAACGCTGGTTGCGGTTATGGTTGCAGAGACGGTAATCAATCATGTGCATTTTAGACGCCCTCTGATGTTTGCTGCGAGTTTGAAATGCTAGACGTAATAACTATTGGAAAATCCTAAACTATAACCAGTGGAGTTTCATACAGTACCAACAGAGAAAGTGCTAATGATTGGTACAGAATTTAAAACTGCTAGACTGGATCCGAGGTATAAGCTTTAACTTGTGAACATTGCCTAGATCAAGCAAATAATATCAACATTTTATGTGATCTGAAATTTTTATCTCCAATGATCAGATAGACGGTCACTTCTCCCAATCAATCTAATAGTAAAAAAGATAAAATCGCTGTAGACCTTGACGTACTTATTCATTCATCTATGCCAAGCGTCTACAACACAGTAGCTATCAGTTTCAAAAACTCCATTTTACTATGAATGTTTGCTTTAGGAAACCTGATCCTCGAAAAACTGAGGAATTTCATTCAACCATTTGGACGCAGCCATCATTCTTGTCGCGTTAAAACCAGCCCATTAACGAAAAGCCCAAAGTAAACGGCGTCAAATCGTTTGAATAAATTTCAATAACTCTTGGCGAGCGAACAATAAACGTTTTCGAAAAAAATTTGAATCGTCGTTTTATTTTAGTGTTGCTAGCGGGGTGTCCTTCGTGATCGCCCGTCGCGTTTTTTATAATCGCTTCGAACTTTATGGCTACCATAGCCACCACGATTGCCCGTCACCGTACCAGTGTAGTTCGGTAAGCAAAGTTTTGTTAGAATAAACCATTTATTTTCACAAGCTTTTATTCTACTTGACCTCTTAGTGTTACATAGAGTGAAGATTACAGTCCCTCATACGTTAGAGGGACGCCTTATTTGGTCATCGCCTCCCAATTTTTCTTCTCGTTCAGGAAGGTAGAAATATGGACCGAATTTCCTCATGGTCATGGAGTTATTGTTTTTACTGTTCCGTATCATAGGCAGAACGAACTGCTATTTTCTGCCCTTTACACACATGGGCCATTTCACGTGAAGTGGACAGCGAATAAAAGTGAGGTTTTGAAATTCGCTTTAACATCGAGTAGGTGTAAAAGAGAAAACAATATTTCGTATTTGAAATTGGGATCCCTTCGGGGAATATTTCGAATTGAAAAGTATTATATTGGGATATAAAACAGCGTCTTATATAAAAAAATGTCTGTACTTTTTAATATAAAAATAAAAAAAACACATAAGGTGCCGGAAGTAAACATTTCGAACCAAAATTTTGGCAACTTCGCCTATTCTTATTTTCGATTCGACAAAGTAAGGGCTTATGTCCGGTTTCGCACCTCAAGTTTTTCTTGGAAATTGTTTTTTTTTTCAAAAAGTAGGGAACATTCCCTATATAAAACGCTATGTTTTATATCCCAATATAATAAATACTTTTCGATTCTTCGAAAAATCACAATTAAATGTGCCACGAGAAAAAAAAGTCGTATTTTCTCTTTCACACCTACTAGATGTTTAAACGATTTTGAAACCTCACTTTTTTTTCGCTGCCCGCTCCACGTAGAATGCCCCACTTGTGTTTACATTAGACGTTTTGTTTTTTTGTCCATTTAAGAAATTTCAGCACGTTAAAGGCAGATGCAGAAGCATATATTTTTTGAAATAATGGCGATCAGTCAATAATACCTACCTAGATATGGTGTACAGGGTGGCCCATCCATGGGTGGACGGAATATTACTCATAAACAAATACATTTGGGGAAATCTATTTATGGGATGTTATACATGAAATTTGAGGGCACATTTATAAAATATTGGCCCTCATACAGGGTGTCCCAATTTCGACCTACATATCAAAGTTGTGATTCTTCTAATATAATGCCTCAATTCAAACGAAGAAAATTGATATAACATACTATGGGGTTTTGGTAATTAGCTACTGAGATATAAGGTGTTTTGTCTAGAAAAGACCCCCACTTCGGCAACCCCTCAGTCCGACATTTTGAAATTTGGAGTGCTGAATTTTGTATCAAAAAAATCTTACACACCTCAGCGTTTATCTTATTTGTTACTTTTTCGAATTTTAATTTTTGCTCATACAGGGTGGTCAAAAACGCAAATTTTAGTTTTTCTCAAAAATTTCAAATGCATATCACCCTGTATATTTGCGCAAGTTTGGCTTCAATTTTTTATAAGCTTTTTTTGATACTAGTCACATAAGAGTTTTTACAGCTATTTTTTCGGTTAATAGCACGTCTTTTATGGAACGGCTTAATTCCCTAAAATATCGCATCATCCTTGGAAACAAATAAACTCTTGATTAGTTACAAACTGTCAAAATTAGCTGTGAGCATTAAGCATCCCACAAACCGGCGCGAAATATTCGCTTTGGTTGCGAAAATTTCGCGGCGATGAATTCGCGATCAGATTAAAACGCGGCGGTTTACGGACAGGCTCAGACTTGTGCGAAGCGAATGCGATTGTTCCAGCGTTTTTATCGCGGCGTATTTCAGTTCGCCTTTGACCGCGTTTTTCGGAAACGGAATTATTGATAGAAATAGTGAAAAAGGATCCTTGTTTGTATGATTTGTCGAACGATGAATACAGGAATGTGAGAAAGAAAGACAAGATTTTGATGGAAATAGGAAAAGAATTAAATACAAATGGTATGTAGCTAATATTTTTTATTAACTTGTTAAATAATTTACAGTCTACACAAATGTGAAAACGAACATTTTATAATTATATTGGGCATAGGCATATCAGAATTAAAATAATTTACGAATTTGTCACGAGTAGAAAATGCTAGCCTTGCTGCCCGCCGAGG